ATACTGTTGGAATTTCAATCAGGATTGCATTGAATCTGTATAACAGTTTTGGAAGTATGGCCATTTTCACTATGTTGAGTCTTCCTACCCAGGAGCAAGGGATGTCTTTCCATCTTATATTCTCTTCTATCTCTTTTTGCAGAGTCCTCTACTTTTTAGTGTAGGTCTTTTGTCTCCTTCATTAGATTGATTCCTAGATATTTCTCTTTTGGTGGGGGAGGGATGTTATTGTGAAAGTAATTGTTTCCCTAATCTCTCTCTCAGTAAGTCTGTTATTTGTGTACAAGAAAGCTATTGATTTTTGAGTGCTGACCTTGTATCCAGCTACTCTACTGAATCTGTTAATTAAGTCTAGCAGTCCTTTGGCAGAGATTTTTGGGGTCTTCTATGTAGAGCATCAGCAAGTAGTGACAGTTTAGCTTCTTCCTTTCCTATCTTTATTCCCTGTATTTCTTTCTCTTGTCTAATTGTTGTGGCTAATGTATCTAGAACTATTCTGAACAGGAGTGGGAATAGTGGACATCCTCATCTTGTTCCTGATTTTAGCATGAAGGATTTGAGTTTTTGACCATTTAGTATGATATTGGCTGTTTGTTCTTCATAGATAGCTTTTATCAGGTTGAGATAAAGTCCATCTATTCCAATTTTCTTTAGGGTTTTTGGCATGAATGGGTGTTGAATTTTGTCAAATGCTTTTTCTGCATCTTCTGAGATTTTTTTTTTTTTTTTTTTGGTCCCTTACTCTGCTGTTGATTTACATATGTTGAACCATCTTTGCATTCCTGGGATAAATCCACCTTGTTCAAGGTGTATGATCTTCTGTATTCTGTTTGCCAGTATCTTATTGAGGATTTTTGTATCTATGTTCACTAGGGAGACTGGCCTGTGGGGGGGAAAAATATATATATATGTATATGTATGTGTGTATATATATATATATATCCCCAAATCATAAAGAATTTTCCATATTCATTCCAGAAATTTTATAATTGGAATTTTCATGTTTAATACTATAGTTAGTATGGTTCTTGATTTTGGCTTAATTTTTGTTTATGATCTGTGATTAATGGATAAGATAATACACAAGTGTATGCACACACACGCACACACACACACACAATTTTTTAGCACCTTATTGGAAAAAGTATTCTTCCATTAAATTACTTTTGTACCTTTGTTGGAGATCAATTTATCATGCATGTGTTATTCTATTTCCTATGTTGATATTTTTAGTTTTAACATTGTGATAAATACTAGGGAAGACTTTTTAAAATGTCTTTAACCTCTTATTGAGAAATTATCAAAATAGCAGAAAGGATGAGAGAGATATTGGGATCTCTTTTAAGAGGACACTGATTCTAGGGATTCTAGGGATTCTAGGGATGAAAGCTTTGCCACTATGACTGCATCACCTCTCAAAGCCCCCACCTCCTACACTACCTAGGCTGTTGGAATTTTAGCATATGAACTTGGACAAACATAAATATTCAGACCATAGCACATGGTAACTAAAATATGAGAAACTAAATCCTGCTGTAATATCCTATAAGTATGTTGAATTTTCACTGAGTACCCATAGCAAAAGGTGCATGCCAACTCAGGCATATTGGCACACACCTGTAATCCTAACACTTGAATGCTGAGGCAGGAAGATCATGAGTCATGAACTGAAGGACAACCTATACTACATAGTGAGAACTTGTCTTACAAAAAACAGAAAACTTTACACACCCATCTTTCAGGGTGTGAGACCTACATCTTCTAGGAAAGCAAGTATTTCTTTCAGTTATGTATATATATTTTCATTTGTAATCACATAATTATACATATTTTGAGGTACCATGTGATATTTCCATATATGTTTTATATTTCAATATATCTGTAATGATCAAATCAGTGTAATTGGTATATCCATCACCTCAAAAATGTATTACTTCTAGGCTCACTTTGGCAGCACATGTACTATAAAAAAAATTATCACTTCTTTGTCAAAAATCACTATTTTACTTTACTCACTATTTTTAAGTATTCAGTTAATTGAGGTAGGTATTTTTAAATTTTTGTTTCACAGCTGTATTCCAAATATCTAGTACCCAGAACAGAGTAGTTGTTCATTAAATGCTGGAAGAATGAAAACATATTTACAAATTGGAAAAGTTATCTTGAATCTGAAGAAGGTACTATAAAATGTAGGATCACTATCACCATACCGGAGAGTTACAAGATGTTTCCTTGCTTACTTCACAAATGCAAAGAAATCTTCACTTGGCATTTTTCAAATTCCCAAAGTTAAAAACTTATTGGAGAGTGCCAGGGATTTAGCTCAGTGGCACCACGCCTGCCTCACAAGTACAAGGCCCTAAGTTGGATCCCAGTTATCATTTTTAAAAATTATTGGAGAGATGATGACTGTCCAAGCCAAAAAGGAAAAGCTGCACTGCATAATAGATTACTGATGCTCTAGGCATCTGCTATAAAGCAGATGTGTTATATTTATCTGGACTACATATGACTTAGATCATCAGGAAGCAAGTATTAATTCAAACTCTCATTCAGAAGGCAGCCAACTTTTGTCAGTAAGGAGAGCTACCTCTCTAGCGTAGTACATAAAACAGTAGAAAGACATGGTCAAGTTTTTTAAAATGTTAAGTGATAGCATCACTTTGTAAATCACTCTTACTAAAATAATGGTATTTGGAAAATGATCTTTTTTGCCTGTTTACTTCAGTTAGCATTGCTGGAATGAACTATCCCCTGTGTAATCTGACACAGCAGGACTAGATGCCAACGCACATGCTGCTTTATGAATGTTTCAGACCGTTTGCTCTAGTGTAAATCCATGTAGACTGTGTAAAGATGCTGTTCTGCATAGTTTATTTTGTCTCTCTCAGCCATAGAGCACTAAGCCCTGGGCATTACTGTGTACAATGGGTTTTGAATTCCATGCCCATGGACCACAGCCAGCATCACACTCCGAAGTTAATGACCGATTGTTATCTTAGCCCATAGCTTGCATTCCTTTTGATAAGACTATTTCAGCAAGGGGGTGGATCACAAAGTACAGGATTAATTAAGGTCAAATCCCCCTGAAACATGCAATCTATTTTCTCAAGGAAAGAACTTGGAAGAATCACAGGGTGAATTTTACAAAAGAAAACCCAATTTTTAAATAATGCTTAATTAAACTTGAAGTTTAATTTCCTTCTTGTTTAAAGAGGCAGCATAGTAATGCAACATAATTTAAATGCGCCAGTGTATCAGCAGACGAGAAACACTTATCATTGCTGTGAACTGCTGTAACTTACAGTGGTGACGAAGCACCCTGGACATCCTAACAATCCAGGCACATCTAAATCATCCAGCTTTGCTGACACCAGTTTATTAACATCTGACAATAAAAATTAGTCTCTAGGAAACCATGAATTGGAGTCCAGTGGTGTACTGTTGGTGGGATGTGTGGCTTTTGATAGAGCATGATGGACGAAGTCAGCCTGGGGACTGTGCACTAATCATCCCTATTTTAAGGCTCTGCAAAAATGCCAATTCCAACTGGGATTAGAACTCAGGTTTTAAGATTGTGCTGAGTCTCTGGCTGTCTTATCAAATGTGTTTGCCTTTGGGGATTTTAATGCCATTTTCCTCATTATCTCTTGATAGTTTTCCTATCATATTATAAAGTCTTAGAAGAAATTAAATATTAAAACTTCTTTGTTGCAACTCATAAGTAACCTCCACTGAACTGAAGTTCTTCGCATGCCGCAGGATTTTTCTCATACTGTCAGAGAAGGCAAATTGTAATTAAAAGTTATCCTTAAAATGAAAATTTTAAAATAAAATCTCTCTTCCTTTCATTGTAAATACAGACACACAATCTTACCTGCTGCAATCACCTCTTTCTTACATGGACAGCAGCAGGGATGATTAAATACCTCTGTGAAGTAATTTGAGTAGAAATAAATGTAAAGATAAGTGAGGAATTTGCAGGTGTTTTGATTTGCTTGTTTATTTTTGTTTCTTAGAACTCTACAGCCAAAGAAAGAGACTTTCTAGCTGCCTGGTAATTTTTAAAACTGTTTAAGTTGTTGAATGCAACTATCATTCTAAATTAAGACTAGAGTAACTATATCAATAATCAATTAATGATCTGAGTAAATAATCCATTTTGCCCTCCAACCTCCGATATGGCTTTTAAATAATTTTGTAAACTTCTCGAAGTGTTTGACGATGGGGAGATCATCTATTACATGGTCTTCATTTTCTGCCCGTGTGGAATAATGCTGGAGACTGACCAGCAGGACATCTCCCCAACCTCAAGCCAGTAATGTGCTCCCCTGAATTCACCCCCATGAGCAAAGTTACTACATGTGACATTCACTCCTTGTGTACCACTACTATCATCTATGTGATAGAAGCCAGAGATGAGCTCCCTTCAATATCACATTCCCAAAATCTAGTAGGGTAGATGTGATAACAGAGACTAGAAAAAGTCAGTAACATTTATTAAATAAGCAGGTTGCCTATTTAGAACACTAGGTTAACGTATGCTTAAGTGGAAGAGTATGTACGAAAGTGTTCCAAGAATCTGTGCGTACATAATGTTTTAATGATTAATTAATTAAATTTTACACATGTATAACCATAAAGATCCTCGAGGGTAAGACTCAGAGAGCTTTGGCTATTTTTATTTGGTATCCATTATTATTGTTGTTGTTATCAGTTTTAACTTCAGAACCAAGTGTAGGATCCTACATATATTGTATCTCAAAAAAAGAAAAGGAAAAACTTGTTAGGCAGGTGTCGTGGTATATGCAAGTAATCCCAGCCCTCTCCGGGAGGCTGAGCCAGGAAGACCACAAGTTTAAGCCCAGCCTGAGCAATTTAGCAACTCAGCAAGATCTCAAAATTAAAAAGTACAAAAAACGCTGGGGATGTAGCTCAGTACAAAGCTTTGGGTTTAATCTCTAGTACCACAAAACAAACAAAACTACCATTGTTTATTATTCTTTTTTGGTGGTAACACTTGAAATTCAGGTGTCACTTCCTAAAAAACAAAAGTCTTTCCTCAACTCTCTCTCCACATTGATGCCTAGTGAGTTTTTCTCAGCTCTTACCACACCTTCTAATTACAGGAATCCATGACTACCTGCGATTGCCCATCCTCCCTCTCGTTGAATGACTGGTTTGCTGCAGCTTGGAATAGCCTCTTTTTTGATAACTAGCTCCATCATCGGAAAGCGTCCCTCTTTAACAAAAGCTGCTCACAGTGTCTAAAGAAGGAAGGAAGGGGAAAAGGAAGGAGTGAGGGAGCAGGAAGGACAGGGTTAGCTTATCATTATATGCTTCAGTTTAAATTCAATTAATTATAGGTCCAGCATGGTGGTGCACCTGGGAGGCTGAGGCAGAAGGATCTCCGTAAATTCAAGGCCAGCCTGGGCTATATAGCGACATGAAGGAAGGAAGGAAGGAAGGAAGGAAGGAAGGAAGGAAGGAAGGAAAGAAAGAAAGAAAGAAAGAAAGAAAGGGAAAAAAGTTAATGAACCCCAGCCAGAGCAATTTAGTGAAACATTATCTCAAAATAAAAAAAAATAAATACAAACATCATAGTTTAAATAAATATCTGAGTAATAAAAAAAATGGCCTACAGATGTAGCTCACTATAAAGGCCCTCAGTACCAGAAAGAAATATTCAATTAGTGCATTTGATAAGCCCAGAGTTCCATGAGAGCTTTGTTGGAACATTACATGCACATCAGCTTCCTATGCTATATCTTTTCACTTTTTCCCTCTTTTTATGTAAGGTAGAAGAAGAACTTACATACCCACAAAAGATTGAAAAAAAATCAGATTTACAATGATTACATTTTTTGTAACATATTTTCATGTTAAATACTTCAATTAGAATTTTCTAAAACCCTTCAGAAGCACAGATACATGGAATTTGAATCAGTCATCGATACAAATCATATGCTACTTAAATATGTGCTTAAATTGTCAATAAAAAACAGACTTTAAAAATATATGCCTATACCCTAAAAGTGAGGAGTAAAAGTCTCAGGACTTCAAGCTTTAAGTTGGGAATTTGGATTTCATATTGCAAAAGCAAATGAGAAATGTCAAATAAAGTTCAAGGCCAAGTTATGCAAATGGAAAATTAATGGCTTTCTTTTTCTCTGTGTTAGGCATCATTTCCTAAACATTTGAAGCAAAGTGTGTATTTAAACCGCATTTAAATTTATCTTTGACATCTTTTTAAAGAAAAATAGAAATTAAAATGCAATTTGTGTATACTGTATTCTTACACTTCATACTCTTTCCATCTATTTAGCATTAATGTTGTAAGCAGAGCTATTCTTTTAGAAAATGTCAAAAACAAATTACTCAAAATGGTACTGTTGATTATAAGTAGGCGGTTTTGCCTTATACTAATGTAATGAAGTCTCTCAACAATAGGACTTATTTTTTTCCAATTTTTCATAATAATTTTAGTGACTTGTGATCAGAAATCTGAAGGATAAGGGGAAACCTATCTCAATGAAAAATATTCCAGTACACTTATCTACCAGGCAGCTATTTCTGGAGGGCAACTTTAAATCTAAGTCAAGTCACAAATGGATTGAGACTGGTGATCTCAGTTCGTCCTTTGGAAAACTATGTATATCACAAAATCAGTATACATTTTGACATAGTTGGCAGCCTTTGCTTGAAATAGGCTCTGAATCAACTGAGCATGGAAACTCAATTTGCCGGGGGAAATACTGGCCTTTAAATAAAAAGGGTTGATAGTCTCTGGTGGAACAATAGAGAAATCTCCCAACATCTATAATTTTGCGTAGACTCTAACTTTAACAGACACCCTTGGTTTCAAGTCATCAACTGCTCATAAAAATGATTATATATACTTTTTTAGAACAAAGTATAATAAATGTGCTTTTAAGCTTACTTGAACACATATTTTTTTTAGAGTGGCGATTTCATTACATATTTTCTTTTATTTCTCCCAGAAGATTATTTTTGTGTTATCTCTCTAGCAACCCTGGCCATGCAGAATACCACCTGCTGATCACACAGCTCTGTGACAGCCATTGCAGACTGCTAATGGTAACAACACACTAGTAAATAGATGACTTTGAATGTCTGATCTAGCCCAGGGGTACAAAAGGGTCTGCTCAGAGAGGGCATGATGAAGCTACTTCGGAATAGTGAGACCCAAATTAGGAATAAGTAAATGTGTAAGCAATTATCCATAGGCACATCCTACCTTCAAATAATTGGAACCACTGTGCACATTGCTTACAACTGCCTGATGCTTGCTATCAACTTGTGTCTTCACTTCTGTGCTGGCACTGAGAGAAAGAAAGTAAAAAGGGAAAGTATCATGTATGTAAGCCAGGTGCTGGTGATAATACATAGCTAGTTTCAGTTATTTCACATGGGTGCATTTTATTATTTTGTTATTTGAAGTGACCTTGGATGAGTGAACTCAAAAGCATGGCTGCAGAAAAAGAATGGAGATATCTATATCTAACAATACGATAGAGAGGTAGATAGATCGATGATAAATAGATAGATAGATGATAGATCCATCATGCAGGTTCATACTCTACCACTGAACTACATCCTGAGCCCAAATATATTTTCAGAATATTTTTCAAGTACCCAAGCAGAAAAAGTACTTTGTGTTCCGGGTTTTCTAGAAAATCTATTTTGGGGGCTATTTCAGAATATTGCTTTGTGCAAATTTCAGACAATTACCTTAAAAGTATAAAAGTCTTATTTATCTCTTACAGGCCTACTACTGCTTCATTTTACTGTACTATTCAAAATTAATTCCATTAGTACATTTAATGTATATAATATAATGTGTGCAATGTGACAACACTCATTGTTGGACACTTGTACCTTCACGTATCCAATCCTGGTTCTTATTTTTCCCCATTGCCCTCCCCTCCATTCAACCCCTCCCTCCCTCCCAACCTACAAAGACTTTGTTTCCATTGTTTTCCATTTCTCTCATGTTAATTTCATTCCCTGCTTCCCTTTCCCCTACCTCTCCTGTTTCCCTGGCCTCTCTTTTAATGATGACCTACTAGTATTGCTCTTGGAAGAATAAAATGTAAGGTTTAAGCCATAATCCTTACCCCATGTAAGGGAAATTTCACACTGAAACCCAGAATGCGTTCAAGAGAGGAAAGAAGAAAAGAAAGAAAGAGACACAGGGAAAAGCGGAGGGAGGGAAGGAGGGAGGGAGGAGGGAAGGAGGACACTGGTCAACAGTTAATTTACAGACATGGACAGAATTAGAATTGGATTATGATTTTTACCATCAGAAACATATTATCACTTAGAAAAAAACCAGAAGCAAGTAAACTATGTTAGGTAGTACTCCAATTTATGTGTATATCTGTAACATAAATTATACATTACCAAGACATAAATAAAAAATACTCATACTGTATTTTAAGTTATTCTAATTGCCTCTCACTCTAATTTCAATGCATTCAAATCATTTTGATCATATAAATGAAGTTTGAAAATGTCAGCCAGATTCCAAATTCCAGAATTTTATTAGCAGCAAATAGTTGAGTAAAATAGTGATAAAATGGGGAAGCGGACCTGATCTCTCTGCTTTTTTCTATTGTGCCTCAGCACCTGTCATATCTTTCATGCGATCAAGTACAATGGGCGTTAACCTGTGAGTAGTAGCTGTTTGGGTACTGCTGTATTTGTTACTTGCAGTGGATATCATTCCAGGCAAGTTCCCTACCCAGCTGAATGGATTAAGGAAAGGAATTTGGTTTGGATGAAATAGGTTGTGTAGATGCCAAACAATATCCAGCTGTGTGGCTTACAAGCTCATTTTATTATCTTGCTTGTGATAAAGCAAACCACTATAAGTCATAGGGCAGCATGATCACCTTAAAAAATCCACATATTAGCTGCTTATTCTCTGCCTCCAAAGTAAAGCTTACAGTGACAGCTAACTGTGTATAAGACACTCAAATCAGACTTAAAATAAGAGACACTTTGTTCTTGCCAGGTTTTTAGCATCTCCAAATTCAAATGCCAGTACTCAAATACCAATTTCCTTATCAACACATAGACTAGAGGAAATGAAATAAAATTAAGTAAATGATACATAAAAAATTTTTAAATGAATCTGCATCTATTCACTGAGGGAGGATTTTCTTTGATACTGAATTGCTACAGCTTCTCAAATGAGAGCAGTTCTGCCCTTTTAATTCAACCCTTGATTCTTAATATATCTTAAGACTTTCCAGACAGCAAAGTTTATCTTACTGAATACTTTGACATGGTTTGTGAGCTGGTTTCTTTGAATACATTTTAGAATTGATTTCTTCTGAAGATACAGCATATTACCACTGTAGCAAGAGAAATAATTAGATTTGGCCACAGCGCTTGTACAAGAGCCGTCTGAAACGGATGGAGAGCTCAATCCTTCAGTGGCTATAAACAAATAAAATTCAAAATAATGCTGTATTTTAGTAAGACGTGTAATATATTGGAGTAAATCAATGACTACTTGAATATAAAGATATATTAATTGCCTAATTTTGTGTCCTAATCTCTCTATCATTCTTTCTCTCTCTTTTACTGTTGTATAAGTCTTTAGGGTGAGCACTGGCACGTGACAATTTTTTGTTGTTGTTGTTAAATTTCAAAACTGAATTGACCCAGAAGAACAAGGAAAGCTGTTTTTAAACTTTGAGCTCATCATTCAGTTTCCATTTTAGTGGGAGTATAAATACTGCCCTCATTTGGCCCCGATTCCCTAAGAAAATATAAGGACTTGCATTCAGATGGAATTGGAATTTTTGTGTGTATGGAGTATGCTGGCTCATAGGTTCAGTCAACAAGCTCCGAATTTGTATGGCCAAAAGTTAAGTCCTTCAGTGAACTGTACATTTTAAACCCAAGTCTCCATCTTCAAAGGCCCCGAGCAGTGGATAGAACACAAAGATGAAAGGCTTGATGAAAAGAGATAATTAAAACTTAATGGAAGCCGGTTGCATAAGGAGGTGGAAAGAAAAAAATGATCGTTTTAGGTATTCACAAGGAATTAATAAAGAGTTCTGTGTGTACTCAGTAATTAATTTTGGGGACTTAACACTTGGGAGGTGACCCATAAAAGACACAGGTCGAGGCTAAGTGCCCACTCTCTCTTCTGTTATGGTTTATGGGTGTTTTATACTCAGTGTAAGAAAAAGACATTAAATCCAAGAAAACTGGAGAAAAGCTGACCTCTCCAGAAATTTTCTATTGAATTGATTCAGACTAAAGCAGTGACCTTTTGATTTTTTGAGGTCTCTCCTAAAAGGCCTCTAGGGATTAAAAGGCATGACATGTACCCTGGAAAAAATAGACCGATTAAGACCTTTGACCAGATGGTTTCAGAAACTACAAGTATCTCTCCCCTTAGGTGGTGGCCACAGAGGCATTCGCTCCACTTGCACGTAGACGCAGTGTCTCCTCAAATGGCTGATCCACCAACAAAATGAGAGGTGGACTTAGGGTGTCAGAAAGATGAGGGATAATTTTACAAAGCTTTCAGAGCTTCAATCTTCAGTAAGCTGCTATATCTGTCTAGTGGCTGCTACTTCTGTTTGTGTGTGTCAGATGACTAGCTTGAATGAGCTTTCTCATACACATTCCGTTTAAAGAAGGTTCTTGCTGTGTTCTTTTCTTTTGTCATTCATGTGTCTAGTATGGTAGCACTGCTTCCCCCCAACTCTGCCATCCCTCCTCAGTTCTGGTCTTCCTCCTTCACCCCCACAACACTCTAAGTTCTTCAACATAGCTTAAAAAAGTGGTCATTGTGATACCAAATTGTGGCTATGTTGATGGGGTTATTTTCTTCATCTCATCTATAGGATGTTCTTTGCATACTGCACACACTGCTCAACATTGTCAACACGTGATAAGTACCAGCAGGAACTGAGCTATAGAATGTGAATTTGCCACAGGTGGGAGAGTAAACATAAACACAGTGACAAACATTTGGAAAACAAACATGGAAATTATAATGGAAAGAGGAAGAGGGTGTAGAATAAGATATGCATCGATTTGTTGAGTTTGAGGCACCTCTTAGTTGGAAAGCAAGGCTCCTTGGATGAAAAAATTCAATATGATATCTGTATAAAGGTCCTTCAGGCTTTTTCTTGAATATCTAAAGTCTGTAAGCCAGTGAAACAGGAACAGTGGGTTTCAGGTGACAGTCAGAATCTAAAACTTAAATTTATAAACTTAAGAATCGGATTTTCTGTTTAAATATTTCCTGATATGGGTTTATAATTGTAATATTTAACTATGAAAATATGAACATAAACTCATCATGTCACAATGAGTGCATACTGTGAGAGGAGTGAAAATTTACCTTTTTTTTCTTAATAAAATAAGCAATCAGTAGAAGGCTTCCGCATTTCATTCTTGATCTTTCTGTTTGTCCCCCTTGATAAGAAGACAGAGGACATTTTAAACAGTGGGTACTTAAAAAAAAAACTCCTCATGTTTTATTATGAACATTTTCATTATAAGGTAAAGCTGTGTTTGCCAATCTTGTCTCATTTATTCCCTCCACATTATTTATTAACCAGTGAATTATTTTAAAGATAATGATCTCACTTACCAATAGACCGCTCATTGATAAGGACATTTACTTATTATCTTCTTTGTTGGCTTGATTATATAATACCACCATTCCCTTATCACCTTTAACAAAATAAGTACCTAATAGCAACTGACATTCAGTCTGTATTAAAATTTCTCTAATTATCGCAAAAATGTCATTTTACAGTTAAAGTTAGAGACGAAGTTAGAAACAAATGTCTCACATTGCACTTTTTTTCTACTATGTCTCATAATCTATAACCATCTCTTTTTGGTGAAAATTATTTGTTGATGAGATACGAAATTTCTCTTAAAGGAGGGCAAGAAAGACCTCAGTGGAACTTCGCATTCTCTGTTGCAGCTCACGAGCTGTCTCACTTGGAATGGGTTCAGGTGACATCTGTCTGAGCGATCCATTCTAAAGATCCCTGTATTTTGTCTCAAAGTCTTAGTATCTTTGGATGATTACTATCTAAGCCCATCACTCTATCCAGATTGACAAAATTGTGATTTTGTAAAGCTATCCATTTTTTTATCAATTTATGAAAATGCCTGCATATCCATTTGACACTACACCAGCAGCTGTGCCACTCTTTCGTAGCCAGCAAGAAAGGTTACAATTATATCTGACATAAATGAAGCTCCAAACCCCAGAGGCAACACAGCACACAAACCTCAGAAGGTTAAGGCAAGGTGCTGAGCAGAGTTAGTTACACACCGAATTTCTTCAGCAGATATCAAAAGGGTCTCTGTGTCATTCTATTTGGGATGGCAGTGATGAAAAATATCATGTCCTGTCATGAGACTGTCTTCACCTATTTGGTGCAGGGCCATATGGTGGAGTACTTTTCTTCACTTAATATTACAAAGTTGTTCTCCAAGCTCTCCACAGATTTTCTCTATTAGATTATCTTAGAAGGCTACAGCTAGTGTTGAGCCTATTTCTCACTTTATATAAAAGTCAAGCAGTCAGAAAGCTGAAAAAATCCATTCAAAACTTCAGTTGGTGTCTTCTATCTTCCCCAAATAAAGCCGATCCAGGAGAATTAAATGGGAACTGAAATGAGCTTATCTCCCAGATGGCCCGAGGGCACATGTAAGGGTTCTAGCAAAGCATTAGTGAAGGCTCAGAGGATGAAATAAATACTTGTTTTCAAATATAATATGAAGACATTGCAGACTAACATCAACCTGATCTCACAGAGAAAAAAAAAAAGTCTATCTTTCAAATGTACAAGACCCTGCTCACAATAGCTGGTAAATTGACTCCCACCTCAATAGGGCCGCTGCACATAAAAGTAGCAAAAACATTATCTTTACTTGAGTGATGAAGGCTCTTATTTGTCCCTCCTGTGCCATGCTTTAAGAGTGTTTGAGGAACACAGATGGCATTTCTCTGGCCCCTCCTCTATGCCACGTGAAGACTGAATTGCACCCCAACCTGCCTCTGCCTCTCTCTTCCTCCTCTCCCTTTTCTTTCTTTTTATCTCGTTTCCCCTCCTTGCCACACAAACCTTTCTAAAAATATTTTAATGCAGTTATTTTAGTAGAGACTCTTATGAAAGGCTTTCTTCCTCTCTCAGCTTGTCCACCTCATTTTTTTCCAGAAACTGCAAATTACAAGGTGTTTTCGAGGCCAGTGAATACTGCATTCTTTCTCAGTTTTGCAATCTCCTGGTGAGACAGAGGGCCAGGCTTTGAAACAAGGAGAATGGGTAGAGTTATGGGCACAGCCACCCACCTGCCTGCCATGTGTCCTCACCCACTTCCCTAAGCCTGCATTTCTCTTCATAAATTTGAGGTTGTATCATTTACTCTTCAGGATTATTAAACAACACACAGTGCACCTGAAACAGGGCCTACAGTGTAGAAGATAATAACTCCATGCATGTTAATTACTACAGTTAATTTTAGAAAATGTCAAATTCCTAAAACAAGCTTAAAATTCATTAAGTTTCTTTTCCTCGTGAAGCAAATACACTCTTTCAACAGGCTCTCCTGCCTTTTCCATGCTTGCTTTTCATGGGACACAGTACTGCGCTTGACTTCTCCATCACTTTGCACTGCTGGTAACTTCTAGGATGACTAAAAACACCCATTTAAACCTCTCAAACATCAGCCTATGATCGAGCACAAATTCCAACCTTGATGATAGGCCTGGGCCTCCTCAGTCCCACCTCCAGGCTCAGTTCTAGAATCAGGCCTCTTTTGGCTGCCAGTCTGTCCTGTTCATGACCCTCACTTGAGATAACCCAGGGCCCATTTTGTTGTGGGGCCCAAACTCATCCTTTCATGGGTCAGGACTGTCTTCATCCCCCTGCTTGTTCACAAGGACTGCTCTTCTTCTCTGAAGCTCCAGTCCATTGGTTTGAGGCTTACTCCATGTTGGTGCACTGCCCTGAAATCCTCTATCTCTCAATCTGGATCCTTGCAAAAGTGGGTGGAAGACATCCAACCTCTTCACTTGCTTGAGATATGTCTTTGTCTGGACAGGAGCCTCTTTTCACATCTCATGGTGGCTTCTCTTGGAACAAAGCTGTCTTAAGCTTTGTGCTGACAAAACCTATTTAGAATGTGACTGGTGAGTTCCAGTCTTTGCCATCTCCAGTAGACCCTATCTAGACATAACTGATTGAGCCTTAAGGTAGGATATCTACATTTCAAATAGTCATTTGTCATTGGTTATTTCCAAGTGAGGTCACCTGCCCTTGAGGCATAGAGTAGACTTTGCCTTAGGAACCTCTTAATCCATGATGGCTGCTCTATGGAAGACAAGACACAAAGAAATAATTCTCGTTTCATTTTGGTATATTTCAAGTACTTTCATCTTAAATCATGAAACAAAAAGCTCAATAATGAATAAGAACATCAATAGAGCAAATAACCCAACAAAAGCTACAGAGAAAACAGAAGACAATTTTCATGAAAAAAACAATGGCTAGTAACCACACCATCCACACATAATCATTGCTACTACTTTAAAATATTTTTCTAATTAAATTATAAAGTTTTAATTGCACAGGATAGTTCTATAGGTCTGTCATACAACATTGTAGCTGCAGTTAGTTAACAATATTATATTACACACCTAAATTTTTTTCAATAAGGCAGATCTTATACTAAGTGTTCTAAGCACAATTTCTAAAAATTGGAAACATTAAAGTCACCTCCCCCACATATATATACATATATACATGCATACATATATATCTTCTTAAAACTTGCATTAGGTTATACATTTTTTACAGAGAATAAACATTTACAGGATTCAGAAAATCTGATTAAGCATATTGTTCCATTGCTAAACATATTATAAATGTTGGCTAAAATTGATGTTTATTGATAATCACTTGGAAAATTGCTCTTGATTAGAATTACTAAAGTCGCTCATGCTTTATAATAATTCTAGGGAAAAAATCTTTGAATCTCTTAAAGATTTTAGAGTTAGCTAAGTAGGATATTCTGTTTTAATTCCTTTTCCTATCATATACCAATCAAATTATTTAGTGTTTCTGAGTTTCAGGGCCTTCATCTTTAAAATTCGAATATTGATATATACTGATCATAAAACATGGTTGTATATGTTTCACCAGTCTTTTTCAACATGTTTACCATTGTAGTGTGTGTGGTATATGGCATTCTCATATACAACATATATCACCAACTTATAACATAAACAGTTAACTATAGTACTTGTCATCTCAGATAAGAAGAGATGATAGAATGCACATGAATACATATGAGTTCAGGATTCTTATGTATGTGAAAATAAATGACATTTTCTAAATTAAATCCACCATTGTTTTACAACAAAAAGGTTGAAATTCATGGTGTTAAAATACATAATAAATTGATAAGCACCAAAGCAAATAAGGTTCTACTATTTCCATAATTATAATAAAGTAGAAGGTCTATTTCTCACTTTGCAGAAATCTCACCCAGGTGGGTAAACATTTTGCAAGTTTGGCTACCACCTGACAAGAAACAATTAAGAAACTCAGTACTTAATTTGCTAATTTGTTCCCTGATTTAAATTAAAGATAAATTAAACAAGATTAAAGTAAACAAGGTTTAGAGAAATATATAGAACTGAGTTTCTTTGTGATTGATTTTAATTATGAAATAACTTTCAAAGCTCTCTATTTGCTCCATTTAACATAGTTGAAGGATACAAACCTCTGAACTATGCTTGATATCTTTCAGACAAAACTTTCATCTCAAATATTTGTGATAAAAGCTAAATAGTAATCTTCTAGGCACAAATTCTGACTTTTATTGAAAAATAAATGTTATATATAAAATTTCCAATAGTTGTATGACAATTATAATAAGAATTCACTGTCAATATCCACAGCAAAGTCATATTGAGCTGTTTGTTGTTAAGCAACTATGCTGTGGTATAATTAAGCTTTTAAAACTACCCATGCTTATTTTCACCATTAGTGACCTTAGATTTGTCTGATAGAAACTTTATCCCAACTATCAAGATAAAAGGGGAAAAAAATACTCTTTTGTCTATCATCTTAAAACTTCCACTTCCTGTGGTTCAGTATGAAAGAGAATGCATCTGCTTAACATCAAGCAGTTTTTAGAACTCTCCCTGAGAATTTTTCCACCATCAGTGATTCATAACCACATCCTTTAAGTGATCGTATGATATGTCTTTTTAAGTCAACATTTTAAAGTTATTTCAGGGGCCCACTTAATCAGGGTTACAGAAGCCTGTGGACTCTCCTTTATCTCCTCCCCACTTGGGTTTATTCTCCACCTCCCTCTACCTTGCCTGCTACTGGCAGCTCAAACCATGGTTTGCCACTGTGTTTTTGATGGCAGGAATAATG